TTCAATTCACCAACTTCACAATTGTTTCACAAATTAGAACAATAAAGTAAGCAATAGTAACAATTATAGAAGAAAATTAGAGAGAGATTGTGATAGATTGATGATTTTGTAAGAAAAATGAAAGAATGATGGGGTATTTATAGTTGAAAATAGGGGAAAAGTGTAATTATAAAAAGTTTGGGATTAAAACAAAGTTGAGGGGTTAAATGGCTATTTTATAAATAGTCAACGACTATTTTTGACAGCCCAACGGCTATATTTTTGACAGTCCCGGACCCTGGCGGGCTAAACAGTACCGGGCCTGACGGGCCCAAATCATAGGACCGGCCCACGAGACCGGCCCAGGCCCGCTAAAACGTTTAGCCCGTTTAGCCCGCGGTCCCGGGCCTGGACCGGCCCACTTGCCACCCTTAGTTTCAATGGATAATGCTACTAGTAACACAAATGCTATAGCCTTGCTTACCACTACGCTAAATCCTGCATTTAGTAATATTTTTCATGTTAGATGTATTTGTCATATTTACCATTTAATTGTGGGTGATAGTATGAGAATTTTAATTATTAAAATTGAAAAGGTTAAAATAGCTCTTAACTGGCTTTTTTATTCAAACCGTAGAAGTAGACTTAGAGAGTATTTTAAAAGATGTGATGAATTTGGCCTAAGAGAAAGAAAGGTTCCTAAACCTTGTCCAACTAGATGGAATTACATGTATGAAAGTTTGGTTGTTGCATATGAATATAGAAACCCCATAAACTCAACATTTAATGCACNATTTGGCCTAAGAGAAAGAAAGGTTCCTAAACCTTGTCCAACTAGATGGAATTACATGTATGAAAGTTTGGTTATTGCATATGAATATAAAAACCCCATAAGCTCAATATTTAATGCACATGTAAGTGATGATGATGAGCACCTTACAAATGGGGATTGGGCTAGTGTTAAAATACTTGTAGAATTTTTAGAAAAATTTTATATTGCTATAAATAAATTTTCTGGGCAATATTATCCTACTATTTCTGACTGTTTAGTTTATATTGCAGAACTTGCAAATTTGTTTGCTCATTTTTCCGAGGGTGGGAAAATTTATAAACTTGCTATTGATTCTATGAGAAAAATATTTAAAAAATATTTTTTTCCTATTCCCCCTATTTATGGTTTTTCTGCTTATTTAAATCCTTGTATGAAATTAGGAGGTCCTCATTTTTGGTATGAAACTGTTTATAATGGTTTAGCACTTAAAGATGAGGAATTGTCTTAACTTCCGGAAATAATAGCTTCAATTAGAATAAATGCTCAAACTATTTTTAATACTTATCAAGTTGCATTAAATCATGCTAGACCAAATGTTGCAATTCATTCTTCTTCTGATTCTCAATCATCTAAAAGAACTGCGAGAGTAAGAGCACTTAATGCTTGGGCGGGGTTTAGGGGTTCTCAAGGTTCTAGTTAGTAGTGATTTTTCACAACTAAATGAGCTTGAAGTTTATTTTTCGCAGAGAATTGAGGAAGTGAATCCCGACGGCTCCTTTAATCTTTTGGAATGGTGGAAGGACAAAGAAAAATACTTTCCGGTTCTTTCAAGGATGGCCCGAGACATTTTAACTATTCAACCTTCAACAGTGGCATCAGAGAGCGCTTTCAGTCAAGCAAGACTTCAACTCGGTGATTATAGAGCGTCTATGAGGGAGAGCTTGGAAAAATCAGTATTTTTCAGAGATTGGATCCATTCGGAAAGAAGAAATTTTGGACTTGCTGAATCACAACCAGAGGAAGACGAAACTTACTAAGAAATGCTAGCTGAACTTGCGGAGGATGCTGCTTCGCCCGGAAGCGGCGATGACCAAGCTACTTTTCCGCCACTACCAACGGAAATTCCTCCGGGCCTTGATGGATTTATGAAATTTGTAAGAGATACCATGTAACTTGTATGAACAAAAATTAGTATGTATTATGTAACTTGTACTTTTGGCACATCTTGATTAGTTTCTTTTTTCTCTCAATGGTGGTATTAGCATCTTGTTGTGCTCATTCCGTAGGGGGAAGGAAGACTAAGAAAGATATTGTCATATTTTCTTAATACTATAATAAAATTACAAGGCATTACTTTGAATATCTCTTTACAATATTTTTGTCTTTAAANACCGTTTGGACCGGCCCACTTGGCCCGTTTAGGGCCCGGACCGGCCCACATGCCAGCCTTAGCGTAATGGTTGGGCCCACCACTAATGATAATTATTGAAGTGTGATGATGGAAACCTAACGATAAACATAAAAGCCCAAATTCTTGTAATGAGCCATTACTCTTTAATGTTATGGAATATTCTTCATTAAATGTTACCGGGCACAGCATGCTTAATGCCTTTATGGACCTGCCTTTCTCGGTGACACACGAGGTAGATGTGCCCGATTTTCTGTCCTCCCGGCTTTAATTTCACGTGTCTCCTTCTTTGGTGGCCATGTAACGTAACATATTTTACCCAATACAATGGGCTGGGTCAAGATGGTTAAAATTTGTGTCATAGCCCAACCCACCTAACTCTTACCAATCTTTAATTGATATGTGTTGTTTCATGGAGTATGAATTATATAATTACTAAATAAGATTTTTTTTTCTTTTGTTGTGGTCATATATAACATATCAAACAAAAATAATATTTCTAAGATATTTTAACAAAGTTACTCAAAGATTAATTTGGGCTAAAAATCAGCCCAACTTTAAATGGGTTGAGACGGGTTGAGTCAAGGTAAACTGACTTCAATAAATGAGTAGGTCAATAACCAACCCAACCTTAGACGGGTTGGGCGAGTCATCTGGGTTTGGGCCAAATTTGACAGCCCTATGTATTTCTATACTTAATAATTGGATGTGAATGACTTTAAAAGGTGCCCAAATATGCCTGGAATATGGAGTGAGGAGCAAGTGGAAGCATGGAAACCAGTAGTGGAGGGTGTACATGAGAAAGGAGGGGTCTTCTTTTGTCAAATTTGGCATTCAGCTCGCTTGTATGTCCCTACTATTAGTGCGTTATTTATCGGCGGAATTCCCATACTTACAGGTAAGACTTACAATAGGGAAATCCCAATTCATTGGGCCTTTCGATACAATCAAATAGAAAGCCCCAAGGGCGCCATATTCTAGGAGCCCAAACTATGTGATTGAATAAATCCTCCTGCGGGTCAAGGGCTCCTTTGCCATGGCACATCTAAAGCGATGTGATATGAAATTTGAAGCTAGAACTATATATTTACAAGATACACCGTAGATAAGGAGGAATAAATGTACTCGAGGATTTATGATATTGTTTTCTAAAGCATTTCTCTATTTTTCGGTTTCTTTCTTCTTTTTTCACATGCAGCACCTGCAGATAATCAAGTTTACGAGAAACCAATACGCCATCCTAATTTGAAATCTGATGAAATCCCTGGAATTGTCAATGATTTCAGGATCGTAGCCCGTAATGCGATTAAAACTGGTAACATATATTTTGATACTGATAAACCACAAGAAATTCATCAAAACATGATAATGAAGATTGAGAAGTTAGCTAGCTAGAAGGTTAATTAACCTGGTAATTAAATACATAATAATCTATATATTATTAAAAGTAGAGAAAAAAGTCCTCACATCAAGCCAAGTGGCAGCCTCAGAAGGGCACTTAACAACTTAGGACAAAGTAAGTTTGATTAGGTAATAATTAGTTTCTTTTTGAATTTAAATTTTAAAAATTAAAATTATATATAATTTGTTGTTAATTAGTTACTCTTTTTGAATTTGAATATAAACATACTTAACTTCTTTTTTTTTACAGAAATAATAATTTTTATATATTAAAAAAATATTTATTCAAAAACCAATTCTATTATAAATAGGGAAGTTGCTAACATGACAGAATAGTATTTCGATTATATGTAAAATTCAAAATGAAGAAAATTAATTATAATAATATAGTATAAAAAATGTACAAAGATGAAAATAGAGATAAAATGAGGATATTTCAATTTTAAAATAATTTAGAAAATTAAATAAATTAAGTAAATAATACACAAAGATATTATTGATAAGTTTAAAAAATTGACGAATTTATATCTATATCTATATCTATATATTATTAAAATGAGAGGAAAATACATTCACATTATGCAAAGTAGCAGCCTTACAATAGGCCACTTGACAGTTCAGGGACAATGTTAGTTACGTTAGATAATAATTAGTTTCTTTTTGAATTTAAAATTCAAAATTAAAATTAAAAGAAGAGGAAAAAGTCTCCATATTAAATCAAGTAACAGCCTCGCAATAGGCCACTTGGCAATTTAGGACAATGTTAGTTAGGTTAGTTAATAATTAATTTATTTTTAAAATTTAAATTCAAAATGAAGAAAATTAATTATAATAATACAATATAAAAAATGTACAAAGATGAAAATAAAGATAATATGAACAATAAATAATATTTTAAAAATAATTTTTTGAGAAGTAAGAAAAATTATGTTAAAATGAGTAGTGGACAATGATATTAAGCCAAGTGATGTGCTAATAAATCATTATATTAATAATGTAATAATATTAAATACTAAAAATTATAATAAAGAAAAATAAGAAACAAAATATTATACGATGACTATATAATTTGTTTTCTTTATTTTCATATAGTTTAGTTAATGAAATATTGTACCGAGAAGTAAATGTTAGTTAAAATTTTATTTACGACGTAATATAATACACTAAAAATATAAATGATAATTTTAAATAATTAATATTCTTTAATATTGACTGCGCATCGCGCGGGTTCTAATACTAGTTAGATCTGGAAGCAGTGGCGGACGCACATGGTGGAAAGCGAGTTCAGTTGAACCCGCTTCGTCAAAAAATAATATTGTGTATATGTATAAACTACGATTAAGCTGCATAAATTTTCTATAAATATTTTATTTGAACTCACTTGACAACTACTATTTTACGACTAAAGTTATGTGCTTCTAAGATTGAACCCGCTTGCACAAAATTCTGGGTCTGCCACGGAAGAGCTAAGACCCTTTTTAGTCCACCCTCTTCAGAAGATTGAAAATATATGTTGCTTTATTTGAGTGCTTAGTTTCATTTACTCAACTACTTACGTAACTTTTCATTAAGTTTTTAAGCATTTGTTAACTTAACTAGTCTCTTGTGTTAAAGAATTTGATGGAATTGAGATCAACGCTGCAAGTGGCTACTTAATTGACCAATTCAATATTGATGCAAGTATTGAGGACCGTTGTCGACTTGCCCTGGAAATAGTAGAAGCAGTGGCTAACGAAATCGGAGCAAATAGAGTTGGTATAAAACTGTCTCCTTTTTCAGATTATGATGGCAAAGAAAAGGACTCATATCCAGAAGCGGTAGCAATTTACATGGCGAATGAACTAAGAAAACTTGGTGTTCTCTATCTTCATGTGGTTGAGCCAAGAGAAACAGCTAAGAGTCTTCTTCCCATTAGGAAGGCTTTTCAGGGGACACTTATCGCTTCGGGTGGTTATAATAAATCTGATGGGGACAACGCGATAGAGGAGAATTATGCAGATTTGATCTCATTTGGACGTATGTTCTTGGCAAATCCAGATTTACCTAAGCGTTTTGAGGTTAATGCTCCACTTAACAAGTATAATAGGAGCACATTCTACACTCATGATCCAGTTATTGGTTACACTGACTACCCATCTCTTGAAGTAATTGCTTCCTAATTATTCACATGGTTATGGAAAAAGGAATATCACGGATTGGAGCTGTGTCTATCTTGTTATAAGCATTGTATTGTATAATAAATAAGTTCACATGGTTAATTGTGGAAAGAATCATGTAGAATTGTGTGTACTTTGATGAAAACACAGTATGATCTGATGTTTTGAAATTGAGGTTTTATTTGTAAGTTTGACTTTTAAGAGTTCAATAAATCCTTTCTTGTTTAGCACTAATTACATTATCTTAATCAAAAACTCTTTTAGCTATGGTTTAAGATTAATACTGCATATTTTAAATCAAACATGAATTATCTCATCCTTTAACTGTAAGTGGTATTTAGACAGCCATAAGATTTGTATGAATTGAGGAAGTAGAGGAGAAAGGAAAAATTAAAAGCGACAAATCGTAGAAGTCTATCACATTACAAGCAAATTGTAGTACAAGTTTTTAGAGTCTAGAACCAAATTGACGCAAAAAGCTAGTATAACGCTAACGGACATTAATTTGAGACGTAGGGTAAAGGTCCTATAACTATTAAGTTGATCATGTTTAGTTTTTGGTACTCATTTTTATTATAAAAACAGTTTTTTGCATCATTTTGATTCCGGACTCCAAGTTTGAATAGGTAAAACAGTATATATGTGACAATAAAGCGAACCAAAATAGTATTTAATATTAGCAAAATGATCTTCGTTAAAATAGACTTAAGGATTAACGGAGTAAAAGTAATTGATAAGTATTACTTGATAAGAAGTAATTTTAAGTGCAAAAATTGACTTTATAAATAAGAATTCACGAGTTTAAATAGAATTGTTGAAACTAATTATAAGTAGTAGTGTACTAGAAATATTTTATAAATTTTAAAGATCTTTGAATGAAAAAGGACGAATTTGCAAAGTTAGAATAGAAAGAGAGTTGGAAGTTTTGCTGTGGAAAGAATATTAGATGATTACATAAAATATTAAAAATAAATACTAAAAAGCTTCATCAAACTATAAGAATTTATATATAGAAAAAGTTGTAGTAAAAGTTTGGGGTAACTAAAATTTGGTTAATAAGCACTTGGTAAATAAGGGAAAAGAGCTATTACCCAAACACCTTGTCTGTGCCTGACAAAAGAAAGGAACAAAAATATCTGTCTTCACAACAGAACCAAAGGAAACAGAAGGAGAGCAGAGAGGGCGAAAGAAAAGGAGTTTTATAGCGAGCGAGAAAAAGGAAAAAGCAGACAGACACAAAGAGAGAGATGAGAGGGGTCTCATCATTTCCCTTTCTTCTCTTCTTCCTTTCCTTTTCTCATCAATTCATCGCAGGTTTGAATTCCGCCCCAGATCTTACATTACCAATAGTCAGTTCTTTTTTTTCTTCCTTAATTCAATTCTATTTAGTTATGTCGATTTTATGGGTTATATCATAATTGTATTGGCAAATGTTTCTCTTAGATCCGTCGTGTAATTTCGGTCTCAATTCAATTCGGAAATGATTTGCTTTTTTATTGTGATAAAAGAGAACATTAAAAAAATCGAAATTGCAGTGTATAGGAAGCTAAAAATGTGGCTGTTATGGTCCGTTTCTATGCAAATTTCGTAATTTACTTTCGATTTAACTTTCCTCTTGGGATAAGGGTTGTGTGTGAAAAGGTTGTCATTTGCTAATTATTATCATTGTCATTTTTTTCATAACCATGGTGTCCGAGCTAGCTTGTGCGCAGAGGCGGATCCAGGATTTAAACTCTATGGATTCAATTTTAATGTTTTTAACATTGAACCCATTATATTTTTAAAGTTATGGGTTCATATCTATTATTTTTGCAATTTTACTTAATTTTTACATACAAATTTTTATTCCGCGTCAAAAGTTATGGGTTCATTTGAACCCGTAGTTAGTACACTACATCCGCCTTTGCTTGTGCGTACCTCGACTAATTCCACATGGTACCTACTACCTCTCACCAGTACAAATACGGGTAATTCTGTCCATCAAGGCTTGGACAGAAGTAAAGAAATCACCTAGTAGTATTTTTTTTGCCTGGGCTGAAATTTGAACTTAATACCTCACGGTTTTTAACCTACTTCATCAACTACTAGGCCACGCTCTTGGGTGCTATCATCGTCATATTATTTATCTATATGATATTTGTGAGTGGCATCAACATTAGTTTCAGCAGGCATCTTCAATTAGGGATGAGAAAACTTTGAAACTGGAGTCTTGAGACAACTTCAAGGAAATGAAAAAGATCTTGTTTTGATGTCACATAAACTCAATTACAGCTTCAGATTTATTTTCTTACTTTTTTCAAATGAACTACTATGGTTTGTTACAAGAGATATTCTAACATCAGTTCGATCCAGTTTACTACATGCAATTATCAGATGGGTGTTAGGATTATTGAATTGCATGACCATTCCATTAAAAGTTTAAGTTGTAAGAGAGGGACATGTTTATTTATTTATACTAGGCTTGCAACCCCCCCACCCCACCCACCCCCCAATACAAGCCAGACTTTTTTTTTTTCTTTTTAAAGTCGAGCCAAGCACGCAAAAATGCTTTCTGATAATAAATGACGATGAGACTTGAACTCGTGATATCTGTTCCGATACTATGTAGAACTGTTTGACTATCTTATCTGAACTTTTAAGCTGTTAGAGAGGGGGCATACTTATCTATCTATTTTAGGTACACAACAAGTACTCTCAACCTTTAAGGTTAGCCAAATATCTGTGAATAAGAATGGTTTGGGTTTATTTCCAGCTATCTGGTTTTGCATGACTGAATAAATCTTGACATGGAGAGATGGAGTCAATGTGCTTCGAAAAGCTCGCTTCCCATAAGCATTTCTATCATTTGATGTTTTTCCGTCCTTGTTCGAACTTCGAAGATACCAGGAACAGACCTCATCAAAACTGTTTATGGCTACATTTTCATGAACTAGCATTTGTGTATTTGAGTTTGGTTTCATTTTGTCAGTTTGATTGCTTTATATGTACGCTTTTCACTTTCAGGCTTTTCAGATGATTCTTCAAATCCCAAAAATGGAACAAAAACTGATACTCATGCTGCATCCAGCAGTAACACTGGGTCAACGATACTCATTGTATGCCTTGTCCTTGTGGTGATAGTGCTTCTATCTTTTTTCCTTTTCAAGTTTTGGCAAAAGAAGAAGCGGGAAGAGCAGTATGCTCGTTTGCTAAAGTTGTTTGAAGAAGATGATGAGCTTGAGCTTGAGCTTGGTCTTCGGGATTAAATCTGTATCAGATGCTAACAATCAATGTACTGAGGTGAGACTCTTTATTGTACTCTCTTCCTTGGAACTCTCAAAGAAAAAGGAAATGTTGCTATGCGTTCTACTCCTAGCTCTTACGTGGAATCTTGGAATTATTGATTGGTGGGTGAGCATAACGTTATTAGCACAAACTGTTTTTACCATTTAAGAAGACATTCGCTTTTTTGGGTGTCTCAAAATGTTCAACACACTAGCACTGATCAACTACTTGGAACAATTATAGTTTAAACTTTAAACTATGTAGTTCTGGTGTACCTGTGATTAAACCTATACAGCGACATCAGCATGATATGAAAAAAAGCTTTTATCTACCACTATCACTGTCATACCTGAGCAAAGTAACTCTTTCAGCCAATATGCTCGTTTATAAATGGGAAGGAAGGAGCTAATATCACTCACTGTGCACCTTGCTAATGTTTATTACCTTATAGATGTGTATGGGTAGTCTTAAAGTCATTCGTTGATAAAGTTCTGTTTATTTGCTTTAGTATTTTCCAAAGAAAATATCAATTAACTATGGACATTTTCTGTCAAATCCTTTTATCTTTTGTACAGTCTTCTTCTGTTTCCTTTTGTTAGTAAGTTGCAAGCAATCAAGCATGTCTACTCTTTCCTGTTATTATGATTTAACAGTAACATGGTTCCCGTTATCTCAAAATTGTATCAAGATGATATATGGTTTGTACAACTTCTTGTGTCAATTATGACGCTGCAACGCAATTCTAGTTCTTCTCCTTTGCTGAATCTTTTAACACGATTTCTGAAACTCTGTGTTGTGGTTGTGTATTTTGGAAAACGATATAGGAATATGGAACTTATCAGAATTTATAAGCATGAGCGGATATGTACTCTGTAAATTTAATGACTCATATATGCTCTAATAGTTCAGGTTGCAAATTTTAAGGTTGTACTTGTATGCTCTATGGAGTTCAAGATTCAATTCTGTGAAATACCTACATCTACTTCAGCAAAAAATATCTACATTTCTATGGTGAATGTGATGGCATGTAACCTGATTCTTAGGGTGTGTTTGGTATGAATTCCAATTTTTTCATTTTTGGTTGGTTTAAATGTTTTGGAAAACACTTTCCTTATAAACTCATTTTACTCCCAATTGGAGAAAATATATTTTCCTTATCAAGAGAAGAGAAAACATTTTCCAAAACTCTTCTTTTCATTCCCCACCCTCAC